CCCCCAAGCGTATATTTGGAAAAATTTTCATATATAAATAATGATGACTTACAGGGAAAAAAAACCCTCCACAAACAAAAACCAAAAAACTTACACTACTTCTTTGGACAGCTGTCAAACTTCCCTGTTCCTCCCATCGCATCTCATCTACTGGACATCTTTGCAGTGTGGAAATCTGAGAAAATGATACTAAATTTCCAGGGTTCTGATAGACATATGGTGGCAGGTTAAACTGGACCACTGAAACTAGTACGAGCTTACATATGTATCACATGTGTCTAGTCAGTTTTAGCAAAACCAGGCATGTCTGGTCTACTTTTGTACCACTTCCTGAACCTCTGCCACAGCTGACTAGGAAACTTCATTCAGTTTCAAGCCTAAGAGATGACACAATCAAAGGCCTTGCTACAAATGTGGCACAGAAAAAGTAACTCCTATGTCCAAATAGGTATAGAATCTAGTCAGGTATAGACTATTCATTGGTTTGTCACACAATTTCTTTCTCCACTTGCTATAGGACAAAAGCACCTAATTAACCATTGTCATAATTAACATAGTATTATAAGGTAGGACCTTGTATTTTTTTCTGGCTTATGAAATTCTCAAGGTGAAGCTAGCTCTAAGATATGCAACTTAATATTCACCAAATTTCCTGTGTCCTCTAAACATGAAAAACAGTATTCAGTGATGAAATGACAAATCAGTCAACTCAAGGAATAATTCACTGACCCAGCATATAACCATACACTCCTGGTAGAATATACAGCTAGGAATAGTTGAGAGTAAATTATTACATAGCTGATCAGTACTAAAAGGAGAAAAAGAAGTTATTTTAACCAATAATTTACAGTTATGCATTTTTTATGCACTGTTTCATATTAATCAGTATCAATTCTTAAGCGACAGACTCTAAACATTGGTTTTTCACAATAAATATCATCAAAGATTATGGAAAAAAGTAGTAATTATGTGGTTAAGATTACTTAAATACACAGCAATTTTTTAAAAAAACCCTTAAAATCATTAGATGATCTAAACAAAAACAGAACTACTGTCTTGCTCTCAGAAAGAAAGTGTTTAAAATTGCAGTTAACTACAGAAGTTGAAAGGTTACATTGAAAATACCTATTTGATCCATAAACCTTTTGTTTCTTGGTGGACAAGGATTTCTGCTGGCACTAAAAACTGTAATTTGAGCTTCCCTCCTGGCTTTGAAATTAATAACCCTAGCTCCAGCCTAACACATTTCCCAAACTAAATGTCTCTGTGAAATAGCGGATCAGTGCAAACATTAACTGGCGTGGATCCCAAATCCAGCCTGAAAAGTCCTGGGATTAGACTGTAGGTGTCTGCAACACAGTGTTTAGACAGCATTTCAACTTTAGATGACCAAGATCATATGGAACAATAGGAGAAATATAAAGACCAATAAAGTAAAAAGTAAGATAAAATATTCCTTCTCTTATTTTAAGTATTCATAAAACTTACATTTATTGTGTATAGCTTTGGAAAGCTTTTTCTATTATAATCATCTATTGGATGCTAAGCAATCTTTACAAAATGATAGCTATACCATGACAAAATGTTGGCAGACTCGTCCAGTACACAAGTACCGCCTTCTGCTGCCAAGAGCGTTTATTTTAGACTGCATGATACAACCAGCCATAGATATTCAGCTGTACTGAAATGAAGTTGGTTTCAACAAACATGCAGAATATCGGAAGAAACAAAACACTGGGCAGGACTTCTTTATTCCTCCAAATGCTTGCTTTTGTGCTTTTCTGAAATTTACATTGTCACAAAACTCATACGTAAGTCCTGTTATATGGGAAAGCAACTATGCCAATTAGAAAAACATAGGAAACTCTGCTAGTTTTGTTATATCTAATAAGAAGATACGTATGAAAAATGGAGTAAGTAGTAACCAAGTCAAACAAAAGGCTAGAAAAAGATTACTTGTTTCCAGATCCTGTTAAGTATTACTGCCAAACTGTCCACTGTTTTTGCCAAGTAAACAGCTATTACTGAGTACTTCTTGTCAGTATCTGGAAACAGGAGATAAAAATAATATTATAAGATCAGGGCCCAAAAAGCCCAGCTTTGGATGAAAACTCCATTTAATAAGGAAGAAGCCTTACTTTTGCAGTAATTATAAAGACAAGTTGTATAATAAAGCAAAACACAAGGAAAATATTCATAGAGAAAATTCAAGACAGATACTCAGAATCGTATTTGGATGAGACCCTGCTGAAAACAGATACTTAATGCTGAGCTGGTCCCTTTACTTTATGTAGCAAAGGCTTTGAAACGCACAGTAAGGAAGAAAGGGCCAGAAGTATCTGCATCTCAGTGGAGAAATCACCATGTGAACAATTTGTAGGGACTTAAACCTGTAAAAGTCAAATGAGTTGGTAAATATCTTTTCTTCTATGAGTCTGCAATGCCAGTTTGCTCTGGAAACATAGATGTTTCCCCGAAAAACTGAGAAAACAGAAGTTTTTCCTTTGAAGTACCAAGACTTTCAGCTTTCTTGAAGAACGAGGGGTAACATATCCCTATAACTAGAACACATCTGATGCTAACTGAAATCCTAAACTAGTGGATGTTTTTAGTAAAGCAAACATGAATCTTCTCTCAGACAAAAACATTCGCAAATTAAATAACAGATATAGATTCACCCATGGTTAAATCAAAAAGCCAACTGTGGTAAAAATCAGATCCATAGACCCAGGCTGAAGATGACTTTATAAAACTGGGAGTACACTGGGATCTTGTTATTTCTTTTTTCATGATTGCATTCAAGGGAACCATACAGTAAGGAATGCCACCAGGTCAAGAAGCTATCGGATCTTGTGGCTGAGAGATCCTACACTGAAAGAAACGTGTTGCTACTTTCATGTTGCCACTGGCAAATTATCAGTGTAGGTGTTGTGGGTTCACCCCAGCAGGCAGCTCAGCCCCACGCAGCCACTCATTCACTCCCCTCAGTAGGATGGACAGAGTCAGAAGGGCAAAAGTAGGAAAACTCATGGGTTGAGAATAAAGGCAGTTTAATAGCAAAGCTGTGTGCATAAGCAAAGCAACATAAGGAATTAATTCACTACTTCCCACTAGCAGGCAGATATTTAGCCATTTCCAGGAAATCAGGGCTACATCACGTGTGCTGGTTACTTGGGAAGACAAATGCTGTAAGTCCAAACATTCCCCCTTCCTCCCCCATCTTTTATTGCTGGCCACAACATCTTATGGTCTGGGGTATCCCTTTAGCCAGTTGGGGTCAGCTGTCCGAGCTGTGTCCCCTCCCAGCCTACTCACTGGCAGGGCAGCGTAAGAAACTGAAAAGGACTTTATGCTGTGCAAACACAGTTCAGCAGTAACTACTCTAAAAGAACTGTTGCTTACACAGAAAATAAGCCTGCATTTTGCTGCTGCACAATTAGCCAAAAAGCCCTGGACAAATTACTCGAACATAGGCCCACTGCTCAGAAGGATATGTTAGTTCTTATATTTGAGACCCTGCAAATGTAAAATTCTGACATCTCTTAGTGAACAAAGGGCTTACACCCCCTCAAGACCCCCAATTTTTCTCCTAATAAAAAACTAATGAATCACAGTTTATGTGTAGTACTCAGACTAAGGACTGTCTTACTTCATGTCAGCATAGAGTTATGACAACTTCTAATTACTCTTTATACCAGTTATCTCAACAAAAATGAAAAACTAATAGATTGGACTTCAAAAAGGTAGATATTTGTATACACATACATAAACTCCTAATAGAATTTCAAAATGAGATAAAAAGAAGATTACATAGGAAAGATTCTTCAAAATCAGATGGGATAAATAGGTCTTGTGGTACTTAAAATTCTAATGTCTGGTCTAGTCCAGGTTAGTTTGGAGATGCCTGCATTTCTTTTCCGTTTCTTTGGGAATTTCAATTCTTTGTCAGCCTATCAAATACTCTCAAATATAGAAGTTTTATTTAGGTTATTTAAAATGTTATTTCTCTATTGTTTCTACCACATAGTGCGTGTGAACAACAGGATTCCCTCTTGATATACTTTCCAACTTCAAATTAAGTTTATAAAGTAAAAAGGTCTAGCATATTATCAAGCTGAGATGCTTTGTATGCCATGAATTCCCTCTGCTTTTACTTTATCCAGAGGGAACACTTCTGCATCACAGTTTACATAAAACATTTTTGCAACCCGCTTTTATGCATCAACCACAAAGTATAGATCATATTACTGCTCTGCTTCCAAGTAGAGACATAAACTGTACATTTATAACTGCTCATTCTCATAATTGCACATTGTAACACTGGATGTATATCTGCATGTAAAAGTACAGCTTTCTCATGTCTTCCACTTATTTCTGAGTTTGCCTGACACTTACTATCACTTGCATAAAAATAATCATGCAAGATAAACAAACAGCGCAAAATAATAACTTTGTCTTTCACCAGGGTTTAAATTAGGCTCAACACTGTTGTCAAGAGTTACCTCTAATAGTTTAGAAGTAACCTGCCTTCTAATTTGCTGTAAGGACAGCATTTTGGAGCTGGAGTAGAAGACAGAATTTTAATTGGCTGTATTTGTCTATTCTTATACAGAAAACCAAGACTACAGGTATTACTCCAACCCTCAGTAGCTGTGCTTTATGGTGAGACTTCCCAACACTACTGGGGTATATTCAGAACACGCACAATATCTCTGTGAGTCTCTACGTCCATCGAACATAAAAGTCTAATATTTGTCAATTAAGTGAAGAGCTTAGTATTAAGCACATTCTAATACTTTCTTTAGAAGAGTAGCATTTTAGGAAGCACTGAGCAACTCTTTCAGCACATCAAAAAGCAAAATGTATTCCTCCATTGTAACTGTTAACCAGCCAGTTTCAGCCCTTGAAAGCTGCAGTCTAATCATTTGGACTTCCTTAACCAAAAACAGACTCTGAAGAGGAGCTTCTTCAGTATTTATCCCAACATACCACATACTTACATCTGGCATTTCTGTACAGTAGAAAAGGGTCCTGCAGTTGGAAATCGAGGTCTTTAGTAATAGGTTCTGTTCGATTTTCCATGCTCAGTCTGTTCATAATTGTGAAGCCATGCCTTGGAGAAGCTGATCTGAAAATTATCAATTAGGAATCACATCAAGTCAAGGCAAAAAAGAAACTACTAGAATTTGTTGTATAGTTCTCTAAAATTGTTTGGGTTTTTTTATTATTTTTAAGAGATAATACAAAAATCTAATTTTGTCACCAAGGAAACAACAATTGACTCTTGCAGTGTTTTGTGCCATCTTTTTAATTACGTCAAAACCCTACATAACGTATGAAAAATAACAGAAGCATCACTAGTCTCACAATAGATACAGAGAGTATGCCACATCTGTGATACTACCATTTGAGGCCCAATGATTTAGTCACAGCATAATCATATTTGCACGTCCAGTTTTCACATCAAGTTCTAAGGCCTACAAATTCTGAACAGGCAAGACGTTACAAAATGACACTCTGTCCCAGACCACCAGTATCAGATCAGCCAACCACCACCATCTACCCCATTGTTTCCTCCTGGAGTAGAAAACATAGTTATAATGATTCAGTCATGGGTCAAGGCAAGTATATTTTTTAACACTCAGGTTAACAATTGCAGATAACAAGAGACATCCTAAATAAGATTTTCCATACCATCTAAAGCATAAGAACAAATGTGAGGGTTGGGAGACGTTGGAACAGGGTGCCCAGAGAGGCTGTGGATGCCCTGTCATTGGAAGTGTTGAAGGTCAGGTTGGACAGAGCTTTGCTCAACCAGATGTAGTGAAAGATGTCCCTGCCCAAAGCAGGGGGGGTGAACTAGGTGATCTTTAAAGGCTCCTTCCAACCAAACTATTCTGTGACTCTAAATCATTATGCCCATTCATGGGGGTTACACTTCAAGCCAGGTAGATAATTTTTATTAATGTGAGCTGTTAAAGCTATCACAATCCTGACAGGAGACAGTACTTTCAAACCAAGTATGACAATAAAGGAAAATATGATGGCTGAACATTTGGGAAAAATGCCATCTCTGGTAATTGTTGGCGGGTGGATTTCTCTATGAAATCCAAAGCACAGGAATCTACATTACAGGATTGGAGTCAACAGAAAACTAAGGAAAAGTGGAACCCTTAACAAGAATCCTTGTTTGCAACAGTCAGTAATTCCTTTAGAAAAAGAACAAACAAACCAAACAAAGAAACAAAAAGCCAGCCTACTTCCACTGGTGTTAACTCAGTCAGAAGTCTGATTTTTTGATCGTTCCTCATAATTCACAAAGATGAGATAGGTGATAAATAAGTCAGCTCAAGTAAAATGGTCAGATTACTTTACATTGTCACAACAGAAACGAGAAACAACAAAGGCAACACCAGGCATCTCCAACCTACAGTCTGTCAGCAATTTTTTTTCCACAAGACTTTATGACTTTGTTCAAAGCCATGAAATGAAAGTTAAAACTGATGACGAGGGCAATATATGATGTTACTCACAGCTCACAACCTGTTCCACACTGTTGGCTACAGGGCAGCCAAGGCAGCAGTCTCTGTTGTAAACGGAAACTTCCTCAGCCAACAAAGAGAAAAGTGAAGAATCACAGATGCCAGAAGTGCCAGGTTACATGTTGTCAGTTTTGGACTTTTAAAACCAACATACCAGAGAAATACTACTGTTTTGCAGTACAAAACCAGCCACTTCCACCTACTGCTAGCACAACTAAGTGCCACAGTTCTTTCCTCTTGTGGTGGTAATTATAACAGCTTCTTATCTCCACTTACCTGAAAGCAGCTTAGAAAAATTACTGGCTACAATTACCACTGCTGGTACAAAAGAGCTCAAAAGATTAAAGCCAGCATTCCCATTTCACACAAAGCTCTCAGTCTCTTGAGCCTCCCTGTCACTTCACACATACATCTCTTACTTTCTTAAAACAATCTCTTGCTTTCTCAGTTCTCTTAGCAGATCTCCACCAACATAAATGTTGAAGGAGAAAGTTTCGGCTTTGGTGTCCCATCCCAGCAGCTACTGCAAGATCCGCTTACTGTATTATCTTCTGATTTTAACGGTAGTCATGGGGAAATGCTGGGCCATTAACTTGGAAACCCAAACACAGGGCAACAGTTCTAAGGTACATGCTAAAATAAATTATGTAACCAATGCTCTGAAAAGCCACAATCAGAGCTGCTGCTGAAAGAAAGCATTAAAAACATCCAAAATGTTGGATGAAACATGCATGAAAAATGAATAATCAGACACAAGCAGTATGAAAGTTCCCTAAGTAGGTAGCACAATACTTTGTAAGTTCTACCATTCCCTTCCTTTAAGGAATACCATTATTTATTTCACTATTTGTTTTTTGTTCAGACATCTTTTAAACTGTAAATGCTACATCCTATTTAAAACAATGTAACAGGTTTCTATGGTTTACCCATGTTGGGATTTAAATCATATTTGGAAATCTTGTTCAAATATAAGTTGATGTGTCCTTCCCAATGCTTTCTTTCCCACATTTGCCTCTGCCAATTTCAGTTTCTTTTCACCTTTGAACAAGGAAGAATATTTTACTTCATTCAGCCACGCTCCATCCCAGCTAGCTTTTCCACATCCACAGGTTTTTCCTGCAGACATTAAAACATTATATCCTCACCTTGTGTAAACAAACAGCGTTCCTTCTACGTCAGTCTTCTCCTGAAGAAAAGGAAAGTTAAGGAAGTTGAAATACGGCAGCGCTTTGCTAGCCATCAATGAGCCCCCCTTTATCTCTGTTTTACCATTAGTTACACCTTGTTCACCTAAGCCATGAAAAAATAACTAAACCTGACTTCATCAGCTAGGGGCCAGAGACTACCACTAGCACAGGTCACCAGGCAGCTGACCCAAGTTTTATGAAAAGGCTAAAGGCTCAACACCATGAGGCTAAACGTTGTACCAGATTAACTTTCTGCTACACATGAGTGCAACGCACAGGCCAGATCCAGGGAGAGGAGTTTCCAAACAGCACTTGCCCTGAGGGCCAACGCTCGGGAGGAGTAAGGGGGAAAACACACAAAAGGCAGATCACACGGGTTCTTCAGACACAGGCCCTACCCCCCCCGTACAGCAAACCCAGAACTACCCGCAAGCAGCCAGAACGTTAAATCAACAAAAGGTTCCAAAAGTTAATTTTTTTTTTTAAATTTTAAATAGACATTTTAGTATTTGTAATTCCGACACACTTTTGTACACACGCAGGTTCCGTTACAGATGTTTGGACAGCCAAGGCACCCCCGAGGCCCAGCCCCTGGCCAGAGCCCCCATCTCCCACAGCTCTGCGAGCCTTCCAAAACCCGCCCCCTC